GGGCGTAGCCCGTCCGGGCCACCCGCCGAACCCGGCCTGAAGGAAGCGATGGCTTTCCTCACATCCCCTTCCCCTACGATAGAAGGAGGCGGGTAGTCCTCCCCTGCAGGTTCAGGGAGAGTTAGGTCCTCAGGTGCCGGAGGATGCTTCTGCCGGAGCACTTCTCGGGTTCTATCGTCCCTTGGGGCAATATCATCCGACGAAGCCAGCATACGCACAGCCCCCCTTATGTCACCATCGGCCAGCCTGCTGGCCACTCGCCTTCCGAGCTCTTGATTTCCGTTTCCCGACTCCCGATTGATAGATTCAGTTCTTACGAATAGACCCGCTTCCCTATTGATAGACTCACTTCCCTATTGATTGACCTATTTCCCAATTGATATACCTATTTCCCTATTGATAGACCCACTTCCCCACGAATAGACCCGCTTGCCTGCAGAGAGCTGCATTGATCTGAAGAATAGAAGCGCTTCTCCCTGTCGTAGATCTCGGGAATGAGGCTTTGAATGCCAAATGGACATCGCTCTATCCGCTGCTCGCAGCCGTGTGTGTTCTGGGAGGCGCTATTCTTCCCAGGCCAGTTGGCTGCTCTTAAGACTGTGAAGGCCTTCACAGGCTCCCAAATCTTTTATTTGTATTATCTAAATAATGTCCCATTGAACCTCAAATTTATTGTTTTTAGCCATTTGTTGCTTGGTTCGCGCAATTTATATTATTAACACTATCCGCTACTTCCCAGTTTTATATGGTTTAATCCGTCTCAGTTTATTGCAGCTTCTAAAAAGCCTGTGAGCGCGTGAAATTCGTTGATGTGTTTGAAGTGATACTTGGCTCAAGAGGCATGGTGCTGCCGCGCGCGAAGTTACTTACATTGCTCTTGTTACTTTCAAATGAAGCGTCAGCGACAACTTCATCGAGAGCATTTGTTCTCTACATTTTTTTTCAGTGAAAACGCAAATCGAAACTCTTGTGTATTATTTAAATTTTATTGATGCCGCTTTAAATTACTTTTCACGACGTATGTTTTTGCTGCGTTTATTTATCAACCTTGGTTAGATTTTCTTCTAAAAACATTATGACGGTTATTCTAACTATATACGTACTCTTATTTATCTTGTTGATTTTAAAGATTCAATGTTGCCTTGCTTTTGTTGCTCACATAATTAATCGGTACATTTGCCACAGCTCGAGGCCGATGAACCCGTGTTCGTCAATTTAAGCAATATTGGTTGACGACCGCCGCTTTAATGGACACCGCACATATTACTGGAAACTTTGTCGCTCAGGTTGACGGGGCGTCTTGTATTTATTATTGCTTATCAATCCCTGCTCTAAGTTGTGGCCAGTTCTTCGATGGCCGACGATCCGCTGATTATTGGCCTGACGTAAATTGTTAACAGAAAAGGAATTGGAGAAGGATCCTTTGGAGTTGCGAGAAGGATCTATCAGTTGATCAATGAGAAACTTTGCGTCTAAATTATTAACTCGAAGACTTTGATGTTTTCGCTTTGGAAGTCGTTAAATTTATGTCCGTTTCATTTTCAGGGCGTTGCATGCTTTCTATCTTGATATTTCTTCAACGTTTTGAAGAATAAAGTATTACTGTGTGTAAAGTCTGTGTCAATCGTGTAACTTCTTTTGGCTGAAAAACGAATTTGAATTTCCGAAACTTCCTAGAAATCTTGCTTCGTTATGTGTTGTTAGCGTTGTACAAAATTTAAAAACTTTTCCGCACTGAAAAGCAATATACGCATGTGTAATGTATGCATAGTGCAGATAAAATCGTTATAATCGTGTGAACAAATGTTGCAATTGTGCAGTTGATCCTGTGAAAAACGGATAGAAGTTCCTCTACATGTGATGGGTTAGTTTCAAGTTATGCAACGAAAGGCCTTTTTCCTAATACCTTGAAATTCAAAAATATGCAATAAAAAGTAACGTCGTATCCTTAGCCAGAAGTGTTAGTATTCCTTGACATTTTTCGCGCTTCACTACTCGTTCTGCAACTGCGGATGAGAGCTTTGCTGTTGTAGCACAGCATCGTGTCCAAGATCAGTAACGTGGTGCCAGTAAGTTCCCCCGCCATGGGGTGGGGCTGGGGGGCTGAGAGACCTGCTAAGGGCGCCAGCAGTAGCAGCAGGAGCAGCGTGTGTGGTGGAGAGACGCTCTCCGTGGGGCGGTACGAAGGCAGCCGCAGCATGACACGCCTCCATCCTCAGTACCTCAGCGCTGGTCCAGGTGCTAGACCATGTGGGGGCAAAGGTGCTCGGCGCTCCTCCGCGCCCCTGCTGCGTGAGGCCTCCAGCAGCGCTAAGGACGTTAGAGTGCCCTTCGCAGACGCCCTGTCGCCGCTGTCTTACGACCCCTACGGACCATACAGCATCTACGGCCTCTACACGTCGACCAGCCTCGGAGGATCGCCACACGGGTCGCCGAGAATGTCGCCGCGTTCGTCGCCTCGTCGCAGGTCGCGCGTCATGTCCCGCGACTTGTGTCTCGAAGACCTGGTCGTGGTGTCGGTCCCGTGTCGAGAAAGGAAGGTAACTCCATTCTGTCCGCTATTGTTTTGCATGAAATTGATTGATTATCTTTGCTGCCTCGTTAGTGGCTCGAAATGTGCAATAAGGCTGTCCTCTACGTAAGTATTCTTAGAGACCTTGTTACTGACATTCATTAGGTTTTTTGAGCTACCGTAGCTATAGTTTAAAAATTTCATGTCAGTGACGGTTAGAAGCCTTTCGCTATTCATTTTGTGTTGGGGTATATTTACTAAATTATTAATATTACTCTTTATTTCATTTCCACTAACATTTGTAATGACTTCCGACTGGAATTTTGACGTCATTCTGGCGCCGTGGAATGAATCGGGCTTTACAATCCTGCTTAAAATTGCTCCATATGGTCAGTGTAATATCTCTGAGCAATCTTTTTCTTCAAATTCCATTTTCTTTCAAATGTTATCAGGATGATTAATCGTATTCCATTTCTGCTTCTCAGGTGAGGCGTTTTGCGGCGTGTACCTGAGTATCGTAAGTATCTTTATTGTTACGGTGAATGACCTGCTTAATAATACCCGTAATGCATAATTTACTATCCATATGATAGTAAATTATGTCATTTAGATAATATATTCTTTTACAATAAGATTCGCATAAGAACTACTTCAATATGTTCAAACAGACTTTCATTACCTTATTATCTAAATTGCTTTTGTTGCTTTCTTTTCTCTTAAATAAACAACAGTCCATCCATTCCCCCTGATGGTGAGAGGAGTAAAGACCGAGCGTGCCCGCCTCGCCAGTCCAACAGAGAACTGTTTGCTGTCATTTGATCTTAATGAAAAGACTGCCTCGTCATTCCTGATAGATCTCTGGGCAACAACGAACGTGTTCTTTTGTGGCAATTTTAACGTTGTTGCTCCAAGCTGCGCCCACAACGTAGATCTTGCCAATTTGGAGTTTAACTGTTTCCGGAATACGTATCAGCTATCAGAATTGAGGTCATAAATATATATAACGTATTTTTAAAAAATTGCCATGATTTTCCTATAGTGATACTATATATATAGTCGCTGCTGTGGAGACCTCTTATAGCTATTGTGTCGGGCACGCAGTTCTTGTCGCCGAAAAGTTTTTTTGAAGGCCTCTCATATCTTGCATTTAGTTATTGCTTTTTATGAAATTGTTGATGTATAAATTATTCTCATGTCTTATTGACCCATCCTGCTTGAAAATAAGTGGCACTACATGTAGTATCCTATGAAAACTATCCTGTACAAGTATATGTGTAAGTTGAAAACTGGCGCATGAGAATTTAGGAGCATACGTAACAAATTGTCTTCGAAACGCGCTTTTCCTATTTGGTTTTATTACACTTTATGAGTTTATTTTGTAAAGCTTGTCATTTTTTCATTGCTGTGATTCGACTCTTGAATTTCCATGGACCATTCTTTATTGCGGGAAAACTTCACGGTGCTATCTTAAATCTTATAAATAATTTAAAATATTATTTTATCATTTGTATGTTATCTGTGATTTCTTCTTAAAATAATTATTTTTGCAACGTCATGAAAGTTTATTTAACCAGACGATTTTACTGTTTTTCGAGTTTTTATTTCTGACCTTCAATTTATCTCGGTAATCTTTTCTCTCTACGACGTCTTTTTATCTGTCTTTTTTTTAATTTTTTTCTCTCTCTAGGCTGTTATTCTCCTCTGAAGTTTTCAGGCAGGTTGCCTAACTCGAGTAACATCGCGGACTAGAATTTTTGTCTTGCGTAAGCGTCCTTCTTACGGCACGTTGATTGGGGCTCCATGCTCCCCAGGTGAGCGCTTGGCTCGTATGCGCTACGAATAACGCAATTTCTATGCGTACATATTACGTTCACACACAGACAACGGACAGTATCTACACTGAAAAAAAAACTTGCGGGGGCGGGGGTCATTTTCGTTGGATGTTCCTGCATCATCCAAAATGTCTTGTCTCATGATACAAATACATATTCAACTTAACAAAACTTGCAAATATGTATATTGGATATAATAAATAATAACTCCTTGTTGTACAACAATAACAACATTTATATTCTGTATTTAATTAGAGGCCTGCGTTATTAAGAAGTTTTGCTTCGTCATGTCGTCGCTTCTTAATATTCTTTTGTGGGGTGAGACGTACAAAAATTGACACAGAAACTCATTCATATCATACCCACAAGATAACTGTGGTAGTTATATTCAATTGAATGGAACGAGCTTGTTCCTGAGTAAACATGATCTTTAGATATGATAATATTGACGTTGCTCATTTTTATATTCAGAACAGAACTTTTACCTGCCACGTTGGTTCCTTTCTCTAAACCCATCCCCACACTTATATTACACGCATAATTATTCATTAATATTATTAAACCGATTACTCTTTTAGGAACGATTGTTTCTAAAGTGCTCCAAGTTTCCAACAAAAGGATTGTGTTAGGGAATTTGTTGCTGAAGTTTTTTTTTAATGAAGCAAAATTATTAAATTCTGGAAATGAAGTTGCTTAAGCGGAAAAACAGAAAAAAGTCTACACTTCATCTTCAAAAAATAACTTGAGAAATAACAAATATCGTAAAGATACTAGAAGTCTTAAAACGCATGAGAATTGTCATTCAGGATGTCAAATTTAAAGCTAAATTTGGTAAATAAATATTTGTATATCATGTATTGCAGACGCTTCAGTTTCTCACTGCTTTGGGATCCTGGTTCTGATGCATATTGCATAACGACATTAAGAAGGTCGTCCAGATTTTAGTTCATAGACGCGTGAGCCAGAAAATTCGCATGGAATTTCTTAACTGAACTATAGATTTACTTTAAGTTGTATGCGTTATTGAAGCTCAAGAGAGTCTAAAAAAATTATTTTCCAACACTCGTATTACTGTAACGTTGATAGAAGTTTTCAATGGATAACGAGTATTACACAAGGCGTTGTTTCTTATCTCATTACTGCACATCTTATCATACTTTGTTACCGTGACAGCGTTGCGTCGGAGCCTACATCTCGATAACAGAACTCATTGTATTCTTTGTGTAGTTTATCAGTGCGTGGCAGCTGATAACAAGTGATAGTGGCCAGCATCTCTGCTCTGTGTGTTCAGTAGTCAAATTGACTTTGGTTGGCGGGAGGTCGTGTGTAAACATATAGCTCAAAGTTAATGACATTCTTTGGGCTTCCGCGGTAGCGTTTGATCTCCGTTGTTATTTTATGTAATATTTTCCTTGTGTGATCGATGTGATGGTGTTCATTCATTACACAGGGAAATACACTGTTTTTGGTGAGAGTTAAAAAAATGTCACCTTGAATATTACCAACGAAGCCCTCGTATGATATTCTTCCATGTTGATTGTGAACAAATTTTAAACTTCTGGTGGACTATACGGAAAGTTAACTCCATCAACATGACAATGAAATGTTATGGGTTCAAAATTCACTTGAAAACGTCTGCTTTTTGATTATTTTTAAAATTTGCGGTCTTTACATCAAAATGATCACTTGTTCGATTACTACGACATCGAGGATATCTGTGCACCGTATGTCAACGATCCAATCTATACGGTTTTCGCATTGTTATTTAATTTTCGACAAAAGTTGAAAACACAAAAGTGAAACAAAGTGAACTACCACTAAACTACTCGCTGGTTCATATAGAGACTTCATGGATCAGAAGCAAACTTGTGAGCAAACTTTAGCGGACGTGAAATTAATTACGGTGCCAAGACAATTTATTTGACGGACAGAGAAAGGCTTAATAGAAACTTTTGAGGACTGAGTCCGGATTATTTCGATAAGGGCGGCCGAAGAGTATTTGTCGGCTCCGATTATCAACTTGATAACTCTGGTGAATTGTTTGTTAAGAAATTTTTCAAATTCGTACGTTACCACCACAAAATCATGAGCACTGTAGCTTAGCTTTGATGTGTTATTGGAGTTTTCGTGGGACGTGTCACTTTTTCACTACGGAGATAATCTATGAGTGTTGTGGAGGTGGAGTGAAACGCTGAGTTACAGCGCAGCATTTCTAAAATGTTTCTCAATTACAACGCAGCCATCCATGCAAATGCAGCAAAATATTTGAATAACCTGTGAAGTCACTTTTGTGGCTAAAAATGTAAATGTAGAGTTGCGTGCGGGCCTTCAATTTTACAAACTTTGACGAATTACGAATCGACTTGATGTATTTCAATACTTTTTTAGATTAAGTTATATTCGCTACGAGGATCATTCATAATATTAATCATTATTAATTATTTTTCGTGCAGTTCTTGATTTGAACATTTTGGTACAAAAATGAACCGTAGAAAGGGTCCATATGATGGTGACGAAAACGACAATTGCCCGACGTTTCTTGAGCTTGAACGTCAATTGTCGGAAGCCTCAGAGGGTCTTTACGATCAGTACGATGATCGTAGCGATCAATTGCAGCTTTCTGTCTCAAAATTTGATGCAGGGAAAATAGATATTTATGACGACGATACCTTCATGCTACAGCGCTCCGCAGCCACAAATATTCACGGTAAGAAATGCACGGTATCTATGGATTACAACGACCGAGCTCCTCGAGTTCCTTCGGATTTCGAGGTGGCCAGACATTGCTTGACGAAGCTGGACCTCGAGGAACAAGAAGAAAACGAAGAAGTTGCTCGAGCGACCAGCGGAGATTTGTTCTATGAGAGCTCCGAGTGTGCGGAAGTTGCAAGTACGCATGCACCGAGTCATAAAGAGTTCGATACTTCATTAGACGATGTATCAGTTTCAGAAAATGAACTTCCGTTGTCAAGCACATTATGTGATGAAAACTATTTTTCAATCTTGACCAGTACCAACGACGGAACGGAGCTGAGCGGGAGCGAGGATCTGAGCACGACATCCTTGAGTTGCACATCGGAAAGTTGTTCTCTTGATATCACCAAGTTCCAGGAAGCTTCGCTTATCCTTAGCCCCCGCTTCGACCATTTCAGCACTGACGAGTCTGCTCTAATGGACAGCAGTAATGGACCGACTA